GGTTGTGGATCTACTTACATTTCAGAGCTGCTGGTCAGGTTAGCTGGAAAGACTCCAGCATGTGTTTGTTTATCACTGTGGGCAGGAGTGGGGACAAAATGGAAAAACAAAAAAGCAGCAGCAGCTGATTTTAAGTGGCCTCTGTGGGGCTTTAAGGATTTGGTGTGGATTTACCTGCTAGATTCTAGAAAAGCAGATGTCAATAAATCAATTGAGATTCACAAAAAGAAAAAAAGTGGAAGGCAAATAGAGTTGTCACAAGATACGCATTGATGTTTTCATTTGTGTTCACATCTGTCAGAGGTTACTCCATTATGCAATCACTAAGTTAGTGCTTCTTTGATAAAAAAATAAAAATAAAACAAAGTTTCTGAATCAAGGAAACAAATACTCGAATGGTTGAAATGCTCTTCACGGCAGGATGCCTGTAAGAGATGCTCTTCTTGATGTTCTGCAATCAGAAAACTCACACACAGGCTCCGTCAGCCTGAGATTTTGCACAGGATCTGGAGCGGTGTCAGGGTATCGGGCTCCCTTTGCAGGACCCTCGGTGTCCTGTTGCACCGTCTCCCCAGCCTGCGTTATCAGCCCCAGCGACAGTGTGGGCGGAGAGGCTGTGTGTGTGTGTTTGTTTGGCCATGAATGGTGGCAATGCACTCTCCCCCTGAATCGCCTTTTGTTTCACCAGGAACGCAGGCCTCATACACTTGACGCAATGAGACTGTTCAGGTTTCCTGTTCCGGATGAGACACAGTGTGTGTACGGGGCTGTGTGAGAAACAGAAATGATAATCCTTTGGGCAACTAAAACTCAAGTCTTTGAAGTGTTTAGAGTAAGAGGGAACACAAAATAGCACCACCTCTACATGCTGGGAATCCTATTAAAGTGTGCTCCTAAGCCGCAGCTTTTCTTGAACATCTTGGCAAACGTGTGGCAAAGGAGAAATGGTTTGACAATAGCCCCCTCTAGTGGATTAACAGAATCATCACCAGGATGAGGAAAAAAAACTTCACAGTTTTGGAAACCAAACTTTTTGCGGTTTCTTTCTAAATCGAGCAAGAGGTTTAGATCAAATGTGAAAATCACAAAGAAATATCGCAATGTCCAACGTAATCACATTATAGCTAACACATTTAAATATATTCTTTCAAAACTTTAGATGTTAGACTAAGGAAGTGCAGCTACAAATAACTGCAAAGGAATGAAAGGTCAGCTTATAACATATTTCATTTAGTTCACGTTCTCTACAAGTTAAAAACTAAAGTTTTGAGGTGGCACACGCTGAAATAGTGGGAATAGCTGACAAATGTTCAAAAACAATCTCCGTCTCAACAGAAGCTGGCAAATCAGAGGCTAAGTCCACTGTAAGCAGTTATATTTGAGATGACTGTGGCTCGGTGTCTAAAGCGGTTGCCTTGCAGTTTGAGAGCAGTGTGTTTGATTCCTCCTGTCACATGTCGTTGTGTCCCAGGGCAGGACACTTAACTCTAAAGCTACTGTGTAAATGTGTGTGAATGGGTGAATGTGGCCGTAGTGTTAAAAGCTTTCAATTGTCAGCATGACTAGAGAAGCTCAATGTAGATTAAGTTGACTTGCATCACTTGGAATTTGAATTTTTATGACAGATTTGCACAATATTTAAAGAACAAAGCGCATGCAGAAAACATAATAACAAACAGGGTGAAAGTACATGTACATGACGACAAACAGTATCAAAAAGACTACGGAAGAAAGCCAACAAAAACTGACTGAAAACCTAATATTGCACACATTTCCTCTGGACTATCACATGAAATAGACAGTCAAAATAAAAAAAAATGTAAAGCTGTACAAAGACTGAACTGGTCTTCCCGTTTAACTATAATAAAGCTTGCTTGGCATTTAAAGCTGTTATTTACACAAACTGCATTACTCTAAAAAGGACCAAAAAAAGCTGCATTATTAGCACATAAACCCTTTAATGTGAGCCATTACTCCAGCATGGTGCACTCTGAGAGTTTAATGGAGCCTACAAAAGGAAGGTGGGTTGTTAACCTGCTCAACTGCCTGTGGGTCATTTACACAGTTAATGTTCTGTCAGTCTTACGTGTGTCTTTGTGAGAATGTTGTGTAGAGCTTTGGGCATCATTCAAAGTGATTTTCTGAATCATAGAACTAATTTCTGTTCATTTTTTTATTTATTTTTATTTGTTTCACAAATAATGCTGTAGGAAGAGTTGAGTCAGTCTGCTGCTCACATAAGACGGACGCGTCGTCACAATCCTTCACTGTTAGGGTTCTGTGTTGGTGTGTGCGATCATTTCCTTGTGGTTTGTTCTAAACCTTTCTCTGTGTTCATTATATTGTTGGAAGAGTTCATTCCTTTGTGTTTAGTTTCTTGGTTGTTGTTGTGCTCTGTTATTTGTGCCTGTGTAGGAAACTGATTTCCTACCCTCTTTTAGGGGTAGGAAAAAAAACATTAAATCAGATTGTTTGAGTCATAATGAGTATTAAGTATTTTTGTCTAACAGGTGTGTTTCTGTTTCCTCAGTTGCGGCAACTGTGAGTCCCCAGCCTCACAGAGTTCCACTACATGGTGGCCGACTCCGAGTCAGACACAGCAGTCCTGAAATCTGTGCCTTGCTTTTAAAAAAAACTCGGAATATCTCTGGATTACAAGGTGAATCTTTATTCTGAGGATTTTGTTTAATAAAACGAGTATAAAAACACACTAATAAAAAAATGACAAAATAAATGGAAGTACATTAGTTTTTATTGGTTTTTATTATCCTCTTAAATCTGTTAGATTTTCCCCTTGGTTTGTAGTTTCTTTGAGTTTTATTTCTGCTGCCTTTGTGTTAATTAATCTCCCTCCCTCAGATTCTCCGTTTTCTCCCTGCCACAGCTGTGTGTCTCCTCTGATGAGTTCGTCTGGTTACCCATGAACCTTTCTGTGTACCTTGGTCTTCAAGAAGGTATTTCTTCTCTCAGGTTTTTGACATCTCTATGGGAATAAATGACACAATGTTAGACTATACTGATTAAAACAGCTCTGAAAGCAATTGGTTACCCTGGGTTTTATTTTAGGGATGACCAGAAGACCTCTGCCCCCTGACAATCTTAGTATAGCAAATAAAATAAAAAAAGTCATAACATAAATAAAATGTTGTCCTCACATATAGAGTGAGGTGGAATTATTCATTGGGAAAATGTAATTTGCATAAATACATTTATTTGGAACATAGGATTGCCTGATAGCAAATCTAACAGGATGGCAGTTGCCTCCTCAGAAATGTTTGCGCTGCGCCGAACAACAACAAAAAACTACATTACTTATTGTTTGTTGTGGTTGTAAGCATCTGTTAACCTTTATATAACTTACTATCAGACAAGCTTGTCAGGTTAGGATGATTAAAACAATAAGTCAAAGTACCCGGAAAGAACAAAAGAGTTTATTCAGAGCAGAGGATTTTTTTGATGACAGATCAACCCAACTAGGATACTGGGGAGGAGATCTCACTGATACGGGCTCAGGCCCTCGCATGCAAAAGGTAGCAGCACAAAAGATAAGGAAAAAAGTCTGCAGACGAGGACGGCATCAGTCAGCCTGTCGGGGGGGAGAGACGAGCTGCCACTCGCCTCTTAGATCTGAACTGCACGTCTCTCTGGGAAATACCTCCGTCCGCGGGTCCGGAAAGGTTATCTGGAAGCACATTCACAAACGCACACGCTCACACACAACGTTTTGATTGCATTGTAGCGCTGAAGAAAGGCAGTCAATCACCAGAGATTTCCCCCGGTGTCAGAACAGCAGGAAAATGTCAGGATTCTCAGAGGAAAAACACATTGGTTTTAAACCGAGGCGTGTAATCCATTTTGTCTGCTTGTTTCTTGTGAAACGTCGTTACTTTTGCATACAACTGCTGCACCGCTGGGACAGAACCTTCAAACACAGCAACCCTCAGTTTTTCCACAGCTGTTGTTACACCTCAGCTGTAGTTTTCTGTTCTGGCCATGAGAGGGCAGAGAGAGAGATAAAGAAGCCATTGTTCACTGTGAAGCCGGGAACTATGAGAGCACATTTGGAGGTCACTTTAAACTGAGTCCTTCTGATCAATCTGTCATTGTTTTTTATCGTGCACACGAGAGATGATGACTGCATGAACTGTAAGACACTTGTGTAGATCTGACTAGTGGAGTTTTGCTTTATTTGGATGCAGGGCACACTTGCAGAATCATGCCATGAGGTATGCCTGGAGGCTTTTTGCTTTGATTTCGGAAGCACAACTTCCTTGAAAAAAGTCTTTCCACAAAAATTGGGAAATTCTTAACATATTTGTCTGTATAACAGCTTCAGAGATTCAGAGATGTCCTGGTGATTCAGTCGGGCCCACTTTATTTTGTGGATGCAAAGTTTGCTCTTGGGGTCATAAGCTCAAAGGAAACTCATGAGGTTAAGGGAGTCTAACATTAAAACATTAAAAAAAGTTTTCTTCTGTGATGCCAGAGTTTCTCAGATTGGAGTTTTGTTTTTTGTTTTTCTTTTTTTAATTCACATATTTGTGGTAAAAATCTGTGACTCAGTTTTGCACCTTCAAGGTAATTTAAGCATTGAACCAATTGACTGAGAAGAAAAACAATAACTTTTTTCATTTCCAGGATTAAGTGCATCATGAACATTTAGACAATAATTTCTTGACTATGCAAATAAGATGAAAACAAAGTCATTAACCTTCAGAGTTCTGGTTTTGTGTCCTATGAGAGAGTTTGAGTTAGCAGCAAATGCATGTCAAGCAGAACAATAAAACAATAGCCTGGAACCCCACAAAAACATGCTCTGTCTTCAGAAACATGTTATGTAAATACATTTAGTAGTTTAGTGGGCAGGAAAGCAAAGAGTCTATGGGAATAAAAGGACAAAATCCTTTGAACATTCCTAAGCAGTTTTTGTGTCTTGTGTTGATTTTTTGAGCAAGAATCTAAAAATCTTTAATGTGAAACATACACAATTACAGTACGCAGCATTCTGTATCATTCAAAAAAAACAACTGTATCCCTTTGAGCCCTAGAGGACAAGAGTGGTCGACAGTCATTCTCTCTGCTCTTTGTTCTAAATCTGCATAAGGGTGATTAGCGACGTGGCAAAAGGCCACTGCAGCTGCACAGGGACAATGGACGGCAGAGAGGTTTAAAGAGGTGACACTTTACTGTTGGGACCTCACCATTCATTCATGGAGGTAGGCCCCCGTGCCGCTGTGGGGCCTAAGCTGCCTGAGCTGATCCCTTCTCCACTCCAGCTTCCCCGCTTTCGACCGCTCCCTCCTCTCCTGCACCTTCCGTTCCAGCGCTCGCACTCTGTCCCGGGAGCGGCTGATGAATACTGGTCTGCACCTTTGCAGCGCTCCCTGCCAAAGGCAGAAACACATTGCTCTCTTTGACAAATCAGTTAGGGCGTCTCTTGAATTGCGCTTGGAGTTCTTGTTAAGTGTTTTTCTTTCAGTTTTTTTTTTTTCTGTAAATATATTTTGCATCATCGTTTTCGTCTGTGCATCTGACACAGACTCTTCTGCATTCATAACAGTAGAGTAGGATTCTTCTAAAATTAATGTTAAAATACATTAAAGTTTGTCTTTGTAGCAGACCCAGTGTGAATTAGCCTCGGGGGTACAAATGCAATAATGTGACAAATGTCCATTTCCTCAAAAGTGGAAGAGCAAGCAAACATCCCATTCAATTAGTGGAGGCACTTGAAGAAAATATCTACTAGCATAAACGTGCTTGTTATATCTACGACCAGAGCAATAATTAAAACATTCTAAACATCTGGAAGTCTAAACATGACCGGACAAGGATCCAGGATTATTTTACAACCACACAAATCAGGAGGAAGGAAAGAGGTGTCAAATAAAACCTCAAAGGCTAGCTGTTAGCAAAATATTCATTCTTTTTAATTGTTTCCAAAGAGCTTTACCACCAAATGGTGCTACAGATGAACATAAAGGTTCTAGATGAGATGTTTAAAGATTCCACTCCGAATAAATAAAAAAAAATAATAAATCAATGTTTAACAGATCATAACATATGCTTTTGTTTCTTTGATTTATTAACTCGTTAAGTGACCTCTGACCTTACCTGAAGGGAGGCACTCTCAGTTGACCCGTCATGATCTGGCATCAGTGAAATAAATTCAGCGTGAGGCCGCTTGTGATGCCGGGCTTCGCCTTTCTTGGAATTTATATATCCTCTCTCGTCCGTCACTTCTGAGAAAGAAGGAGGGAAAGAAGAAAAAAAAAATCAAATAGTTTTGTGTTTCATTCGCACCTTGCTTAGCTCCGCATGCCTGAGCTCAGCGTGGGGTTGCTCAACAGCTCCCCAGGCCTGCAGCAACATTTTACTCCTTGGATACTCTGGGCAAGCGTCAGGAAAATCTCCATGCGAGTAAATTGATTCAACACAAGCACAGTGTCGAACCTGCAACTTTTTCCAGCTTAACATTTTCACGAGGTGAGAAACGACAAGCATTAAAAAAAAAAAAAAAAAAATCTTCCTGTCACGTCTGGTGACAGAGTTGTGTAACAATACCAGCGTTTCCCCGGTGAGAATCCGTGGAGGGCCTCTCTGAATCGCCACTTGGTGTTTTCTTCTTCTTACTGAGCTGCCTCTGGAGTTTGATGTTGGCTATAATCGCGGCCGCATTGAGGGCGAGCACTTCCTCTTGAGACTGATGGGAGTCAGGATCTGAAAAGCAGGAGGCCTTTGATGTGAGCAAACTGCGAGCAAAAACAGCGGCAGTGGTTTGTTACCGGGTTCTGCACTCAGGCCGATTTTGACATCATTTTAATATCCCTCTTCATTCTGCGGCGGACTGGATCAAACGCGGAATTTAAATTACGCCGCCTTTGGCCTTATAATTAATTGTCGACACTCTTAATGAATGTGATTAGAGGGTAATTAATAATTTCATGCAGCGAAAAGAGATAATAAATGAAGAGGCGCACTAGCACAGCAGAAAACTCCCTCCACACATTGTTTTGTTCACTTGAATATACAATTTCCTGCGGGTAATCGTTTTGGCAACTTCAAGCAATCAATTAGTGTTTGTGAAATACGCAGAGATTGTTTCTAATGTTGGACACTTTGCCATAATTAAGTCACAAATCGATATCTGTTTGATAAACAATTCATTTGAGAGAAACAGAGAAATCGAAAGGATCCAGAACATCTTTTTTTTTTTTTTCTAATTTCAATATTATAAGAAGATCTCTTTTCAAATGCAGATTTTATTTACTAAAGGAATAATGAATGAAAAGAAAAGATCCAAGCCAACCTGAACCCATTTTAAAAGGTAAAAACTGTCTCCGATAATCTTTGGCAAGAAACATTTGAGATCATTGACAGTGAGGTTTTACACTTCCTCCCACTTTTCTTTGCAGAATTATTTTAGTTCAGCCACATTTGAGCATTTTAATCAGACTTATGGCTAGACTTTGACTAGGCCAAACTTAAAACTTGGTTTTCTTTCAACACTACTGGCTTGCTTTGGATTAGTGTCCTGTCACTGTGTATACAAAAGTGTACATCACACAATCGCCATGTTTGAGTGTGTTGGTTCTTTTCTGAAGTGCTGCAATAGAGCAGAATGACAGTTCACACCTTTTGCTAAGTGTTCCACTTTTATCAAAAACATCTAATAACACTGAAGCAGTAAAAATGTCTGATCAATCATGTTTGATTTTCAAGTGGCTTTTAGTTAACAACATTGCAGTTAGATTTTAATATCTAATATCTGTGAACTAAAGCAAAAAGTTTAAGATTTCTGCTTCAGATGTTTCACAGTTCGCACTGTTTATGCTGTGCTTTACTTGCGATCCGAAACAAGCAGGTGTCTGACCTGCTATACCCAAATTTACATCAATACCACACACAGGAATCCCCTGGACTTCCCAGGCACCATTTCAAACCTTGCACATGTCCTCATTTTGTTCTGCAAGATCACTTTTTCCTTGCCTCGGCAGCCAGCTGACAACCAGCTTACAAAAAAAAAAAAAGCATCAAGCCACCAATAAAATATGTTAGGTGTGGGCAGAGGCTGGCTCAGCATCAGTAACATCACCTCAGAGACATAAAAAGGGGTCAGAACGTGGGGCCTCTTTTTCCTGATCCTGTCTGGCAAGTGATACAAAACAATCTAAGCTTTTCCACCTGTCAGAGCTCTGAATTCATTCTCCACCACAGAAATGTCACTATCTCACTGAAGAAGCAGAATTAATTTATTAAGATAAAATCCCAAGCTTTGAAAATCTTACATCCCCTTTTTTAGATCCGTCACCTGGATATGAAAATAAGGCGGAGCTGCAAAAACCCACAGCTCAGGTGAGACAACCTGTTGACCGCACAACATGCACCCTTCACCTGTACAGTACAGTCATAACCATAAATGTATAAATGACCACCGTTTATGATTTTTCTCACATTTTGTTATTATGCGCTACTTTGTGTCGGCTTAGCAAAGTCTCTCTCAAACTGTGGGCACCCCATAGTGGTCCGCAAGGCACTGCATGCAAATGACCTTTTATTAGCCCATGGTGCGACCTGCACAGTTAGCTTACCAAAGAATTGTGTTTAAAAACAATAATGAAGAAGTGTCTTAAAACGAGGTCACTCAAAAGAAAAACTGAAGATACCAGTGGAAAGATTTGACGGAAGCCAAGTCATGCTTTCTGTGTGTGTGTGTGTGTGTGTGTGTGTGTGTGTGTGTGCGTGTGTGTGCATCAATGTGATGAACTGGTAACTTGTCCACCTTTTGCCCAATGACTGCTGGAGATTGGCAACAACCCCCATTACTCTGCAACGATAAGCGTTTCTAGACAATGGATGGATGGGTGTTTAGAAGTGAAAATGGGGCTGGAATAAATTTTTCATTCAAATCGATTTAAATGTGTAGGAATATATATATTTTTTTAAAAGAAGGTAGAAATGAGGGTGGATGAGCATGTTTTTTTTTTTTTTTGCATAGACATCAGTTGTTATTCAGGCATATATACCTGGTAAGAGAGTTAGGCGCTCTCACTGCAACAGATGAAGGGAGATATTTTTTTTTATATAACAATCTCATAATCAACAAGACATCAAAGCTGAGGGACTATACAGATGGAGTGTAATATGTTGAAGCTACAAGGCATAAACTGTAAAAAAGGAAGTGTATATTTAGACACTGCGATGCTTTGAAAATATAGATCAAAGACAGATGGAGCCTGTATGTTGACAGGAACACTGTCAAAGTGGGACAGAGAAACCTACCCGGGGCCTTGATGAGAGTGAGACTTGGAGAGGCTCTGCGTGTTCCATCCACTGTCGGTGGCAGTCTTTCTTTCTCATTTCTGTTTGGTGTGAGCGTGTCAGCTGCCGTGGGCCGACTTGCTTCCTTTGCTGCTTTTCCAGAGCTGGAGAAAAGGCGGTCGAGGTCCACGTGATTGATAGAGGTGTCCTGTGGAGGGCCGGAGCTCCGCTTCCAGTCAGGCGATTGTGCAACACCTTCCTTGCTCTGCTTAGAGTGTTCAGTCAAACCGCCGTAGCAGCTCTGTGGTCTTTGCGGCCTCTCAGATCTTTGTCCGGCGGCCCTTGGTCGAGGCTCCGAGGGAGGGGATGCGACGGCAGGGGGGTTACTAAGAAAAAGTTTCAGTGTAGACCTGTGCAGGGTTTCGTTTTTCTGTCCATCTGAAGAGAATGTGTTTGGGGCAGCTGCACTTGGTGAGGAATTCAGGTGATAAGCAGGTACTTTACTGTTTTCTATATGGTTTTC